ACTTCAGATCTTTTGAGTCTATTTTCTTTCTGTTGCGGTGTAAGTTCTTGCACTTCTTGAAATTTCAATGGCTTTACCTCGAGCTTATTTTTCAATATTTTCCGTCCACTTCCTTCAGGTCGGGCTACGCTACCAGTATAACGGTAACGCGCGAAGGTACGAGACACAAAAGATTTATTGACATTTAAATGCTGGAGTGCTCTAACGGTAGCCACTTGTGGTTTTCCGGCCAAATATAAAGAAATCACACCATGACGCTTGAATTCCATCACGATTAACTTTTTTTCTGGAAAATTCTCACCAGAATGCTTTTGTACGCTTGTAAACAACACAATGAGCTGTCACTGGAATAATTTGAACAGCTGTCGGACGAGCGGCTTAGAAATGACAGCAGTCTGAAGTTGGTTGCAGTTTTTTTTTCATCTCACGCTTTAGGTCAGGATCGAGAATGTCAATGTTGGTCTATTTATTCCTGTATCTGGTATTAATTAAATTAGCTAATTTTAAATGGAATATCGATTCGAAAAATATTTTCCATGTAAAAAAAAACCGAAAAATAACCATTTTGACGTTGGCCTTAAGCCCCGCTCTGCCACGGCCCTGGTGCATTATGACTAAAAACATTTGATCAAGTATAAGGATGAAATACATCGATTTAAAATGGTTACATAAATATATGGGCAAATTTTGAGGGTAAATATTAGTCGGAACTTGTCCCACTTGCAAAAATTTTCCGCTTCAGGATCACGTCCATAACATATGTTATTTAAAAAATGCCTAATATTTTAGAAATTCGAGGAGCTCACAAAATAACCGTTCAAAATTCAAAAATTTGTAAAACACAAATAAAAGATAAAAAACGATTTTACATTTTTTTTTTGTTAGATCCATGAAACCTGTGCCTATATGAATCAAATCTAGGAGAGGCGAAAAGAAAAAAATTGAACAATGTTCAAGAATTGAATATAGTAAAAATTCGTAAAAGTTCTATATATAGAAGACTAGTTGGAGACACTCTGTCCATAGAATACCAAGTAAGCTGTCATAAATCCTCTGGAAGTCAACCACCACACACAAGACCCACAAAAGAGTTGGTCTTCCATATTTGTTTAAATAAAATTCCTGTTACATTTACTTAAAAGAAAATCCCCCCTGTCCACATAGTTCAACGCAGTCCGAACGTTGTCCTCTTTTTGCAATTCATTTTGTATATGTCAAAATATAAAAAAAAGTATTTTTTCATATCGTCATCACTTGTTTAGTTGGGAAAGTACAATGTCTTCTGAAATAACAACATACGTATTGGAATTTTAACGACGTAGCCATTCGGGGAAAGGTCATTTCCACAAAACATGTAATTTCTACATCAACCATTTCTTGAACTTGAGCAGTTGGGTTTTTGTTGTTGTTGCTGTAACGAAGTGATTATAACGCCTTTAATATTTCTTCTTTTTGTCTATTTGCTGACAAAGTGAAATTTGTCAATGCTGTCGCCATTTGATGGAAATGATATGGAATTAAGCAACATGAATGCCAAGGAGAATATACAAATTTGCATATTTAGGAGACATTATAATGTAAAAATAACTTTGCCCCTAACCAAAACAGCAAAAACAAAAAAAGAGCAAAATTTTATAAATAAATTAATTTTCGAGGAATTCATTTCCAGGAATTAACAAAACACGACTATATTGGACCAAGGGGTTGCCAAAGTATAGATATATTAACAAGTAAAAAAGTATCGGTCGGTTTTGCCGACCGTTCGATTATTAAAAAATTTCCACTTCTGTTATGATTATTCAAATGTTGAACCCCTTATGCAGTAGGTTCCGAAGAAATGGACCAATATTGGTCTTTTCGTATCGGATCTAAATAAATATGATATAAATATTGTGACGTGTTAGGTTTGGACTGTGTTGGGTTGATGGAAATATTGGGATGTAGCAAGTATTGAATGGGATCGGATGTCAATTTCGCTTTTTATGAGCTTCATGGATATTCCAAATTTTGAGCCTTTGTGGGGGAGGTTACAAAAGAAGTGGACCAATATATCCCATCTTCACAACGGTTCTTTTGTTAGTGAGTGAAAAAATGGGATGTGTGAAATATAAAGAGAACCAGATGCTTCGGATTTCATAAACGTTTTGGTTATTTAAAATGTTGACCCTTTGTGGGGGAGGTACCAAAAGGAATGGTTCGATCTCTACCATTTTTAACAGATCCTGTGTTGATAGAAATATTCAGATGTGCCATGTCTAAATGGAATCGGATATTAATTTCGCGATTTATGAGCTTAATGCATATTCAAGAAGGAGTGGACCGATATATTCCATCTTAAAACCAGATCTTGGGTTTATGAAAATATTGGGATGTGTGAAATTTTAAGATATTCGCATTCTTACATCACATTTTATAAGACTTATAATTGTTCCAAATTTCTACCCTTTGAGGGGGAGGCACTTGATGGAGTGGGCCTATATTATCCATTTTTGCACCTGACCTAGCACTGACGCAAATACTAGGATCTGCAAAATTGGAGCAAACCCGGATATTGCTTCTCGTTCTGTGCAGAAAAAAATATACTTTTTTTTTTGAAAATTTCGTCCTTGTGTGGGGGGAGGTACAAGAAGTGTTGGACCGATATATCCTATCTTAACACCAGACCTTGGTTTAATATAAATATTAGAATGTGTGAAATTTGGAGACAATCGGACTCTTACATCACTTTTTATGAGAGTTGTAATTATTCAAAATTTTGACCATTTGTGGGGGAGGTACTTGATGGAGTGGACCGATATTGTCAATTTCCACACCTGACCTAGAACTGCAAAATGGGATTATCCGTACTCTTTCTGTTCAAAAAATATATGTTTTTTGAAAATTGCGATCTTTTGTGGGGGAGGTATCAGAAGGAGTGAACCGATATAGTCAATTTCCGAATTCGATCTAAGTTTGGCTGGCTGGTGCGCACGAGAACTCTCGAAGGGAGTATCTGATTTGGTCCAAACTGGGTATATCCAAATATTTTTGTCAAACTTAGATCGAATTCGGAGATGGGCAATATCGGTCCACTCCTTCTGGTACCTCCCCCATAAAAGGTCCAAATTTTCAAAAAATATATTTTTGCACAGAAAGAGAAAGGATAATCCTATTTTGCTTCAACTTTCCATATCCTAATATTTGCATCAGTGCTAGGTCAGGTATGAAAATGGACAATATCGGTCCACTCCATCAAGTACCTCCCCCACAAATGGTCAAAATTTTAAATAATTACAACTCTTATAAAATGTGATGTAAGTGTCCGATTGTCTTGAAATTTCACACTTCCCAATATTTATTTAATCCAAGGTCTGGTGTAAAGATGATATATCGGATATATCGGTCCACTCCTTCTGGTACCTCCTCTACAAATCTTTCAAATACATATCATACATATCTTTTTGCACAGAAAGAGAAACGATAATCCGATTTTACTCCAACTTTCCAAATATTTGCATCAGTGCTAGGTCAGGTATGAAAATGGACAATACCTGTCCACTCCTTCTGGTATCTCCCCACAAAGGGTCAACATTTTAAATAATTAAAACTCTCATAAAATGTGATGTAAGAGTCCGATTGTCTTGAAATTTTACACTTCCCAATATTTATATTAATCCGAAGTCTGGTGTTAAGATGGAATGTATCGGCCCTCTTCTACTGGTACCTCCCCCACAAAGGGTCGAAATTTTGAATATCCATTTATCTCAAAAAACGCGAAATTAACATCGGATTCCATTTAGACTTGGCACATCTCAATATTTCTGTCGACACAGGATCTGTTAAAAAAAACGGTAGAGATCGCCATATGACTGAGGGTATAATTAGGGCATAATTTCGGGTTTTTCTCCCCCACACAGGGTCGAATAATTGAATATCCATTAATGTGATAAAACGCGAAATTAACATCGGATTCCATTTAGACTTGGCACATCGCAATATTTCTGTCGACACAGGATCTGTAAAAAAAAGCGGTAGAGATCGCCATATGACTGAGGGTATAATTAGGTCATATTTTCGGGTTTTCTTGTGAACATTGATTTAGATTTTTTTATTTGCTGAATTTTAGTGAAATTTGATGTAGAATATTTTTGTCTTTGACATTATCATTCTTCAATGATGTTTTGTTAGAGATTGTTGCACAAACTCGCCTAAAATGTCTCTTTAATTTATATGAATTCCTGACGTTCAGATAAGTTTTAGACTTTTGACGTCTTCCAGGACCTATAGTAGAATTTTATAAAAAAAAATAATAATTTTGTAGAATATTTTGCCATGCTACGATCCCAATAAAAGGGAGTTTTTAACTAAAAATTTAAAAACAGGACCAAAACGACCACTTTATTGAAACGCCTTAGGGTTAAAATTTTCTAGAAAAATATTCCTCGTATTTTTATCTCAATATTGGCTGAGAAACTATATAGGTGAAATGTGCAGATTCCTAGAAGTCCTAATCCGTAATTTTTCAAATGTGTGGATGAAGGGGGATCTTGCCTTCCTCAAATTAGGTTACCCTGCGATGAAAACTTTCAAAACGCCGATACACATGGCTTCGTTTTTAGCTCTACTTTCATAATCAGCTGGATTTCTCTGTAAATATTGAAAAAGATGAATTTTTCGAAAAGTGTTTTACTTGCAGGATAACATTTTCCCAATTATGATTCATTCATACATTCTTTATTATATTTTTTCTACTAGAAGCACGTTTGCGTTTTATTTTATTAAACCTCATCTTAAACAATCGAACAACTTTATTGCCAAACCACTTGAATGATAATTTAATTCATTGATTCGAAAACTGGCAGCATAACCTTGCCATGAAATGTTCGCAAAACCCCAAATTAAATGCTCATTTGTTTATATCGCATACACCCTCATTCAAAGGTATATGGCTCTCACCACACACACACACACACACACACACACCAACAAATGCCTTGCCATTAATTAAATCCCTCACTTACCTTATATTCGTTTTTAATATCGCATATCGTCATCTCCAATTTCGGCGAATAGACCGGCGTCGATGAAATCCAAAAGGGAGCACAGTGTAAACAGCCCAATAATGTCAGACCCAACAACACCATTTTGGCTCGCCTCACCGTACACATGGTTTGACGTTTCAAGGGATACATTACCGCAATGAAACGCTCCACAGTGAACGCCACCACAAACCACACCGAACAGAAACAGGCCAGGTTGCTGAAGAACGTAAAAAATTGACAGAAGTATTCCCGATTATAGATGTGGACATCGACAAAGTTCAACCACTGGGCAAACAGACCGAACAGGAAGCAGGTATCACTGACGGCCAGGGCTGCCAAATAGAAACTCGACGATAACTTGCGCAGCTTCGTTTTGAAAAAGACAACAACGGACAGAATGTTGCCAATGGAACCGGTGCCCACAATAATCGGGACATAGTAGAAGCACAGGACATTGCCGATGTATTCAATCGTTTGCAGTACTTCATTATCTTCATCCAGCAGAGAACTATTGCCGGCGGGGGTGTTTTGGGGATGAGAAGTTTTGTTAATGCTGTTAACTTCTGTGTTTGGAGAACTGTCTTCTTGTCGGTAGGTATTGAGTGCTGTTGTCGTAGACAAGACCGATGTTTCGTTGGCATTAACCATCTGTGCTGGCCAAGTTAGTGGCTGGAATGTTGCAGTATTTGTCATGGCGGAATGTGGTTTTTCTGGTTGTTGTTGTTGTGGTTAATAATGTGTTAACCCAAGTGTCGACTTATGCCGACAACTTGAGACATGAAACAAAATGTTTTATTCGCGTGAACAGCTGATTTCACTGGATATGATATTGAACAGCCGCAGCATGCCAGAGTTACGAGTTCTTAACGACCAATACTGTTGTCAGACAACTACACATTAGAGTTTGCGATTTTGTTTGAAGTTTATTTTGAGTTTTGCTGTTTTTTGATTGACAATTTTAAATTAAAAACTGTCAACATTAATGTCTTTCATATTCAGATAGTTAATAGATTAGATCTATTAGATGTAGGTTAGAGCTATACTTTTCTATACACGCGCCCATATTTCATGTTATTTTTATAGTACTCATCGAATTGGTAACAAGTACGAATGAAGTTAAGTTCGACCGGGCCGAACTATTATTACTTTTGGAAAGAGCCTGAAATTTAAAAAAAATACCCCCTAAATGAAAGCGATATATGGGAGCTATACAAAGACGTGAGCCTGCATAAGTAATTCTCTGCCATAGGCTGCAGTACCGATTCCGACCTTCAAATAAGAAATTTTAAACAATTGGGGCGAATAATGTCTCAGATATCATCAAAATACCAAATAAAGGGAGGTATCTTTATATGGGGGGCTAAACGAAGGCGTGGACCTGCATGGACAATTTGCTGTCATAGACTGAGGCATCGATTAAGATCTCCCAATACGAAATTCGAAACAATTCCGGCCTATAGAGTCGCTAAAATGATCAAAATATCGAATAATAATAGATACTGTTATATGGGGGCTATACGAAATCGTGGACCGACATGACCCATTTAGGAACTTAACCTGGCAAAATAGACATGTGTGCAAAATTTTAGCCTTCTATCTCAAATACAACAGACAGACAGGTGGACATCACTAAATCGACTTAGAACTTTACGCTGATCTATATATTGTTGAATTATGTTGGTTATTGCATAAGTATTTCGAGGAATTACAAACGGAATGACTAAGTTAACACACCCTCCACAGTATGGGCGTCGGGTCGGGTCAAACTTTCAATACCCTCCACCATTTTGAAGGAACTTGAAAATTTTCCAAAAAAAAAAAAAAAAAAATCCGTCGAAAAATACCGCTCAAAGGGAATCCGTTATATGAGGGCTGTACGAAGACATGGTCCTGCATACACAATTTTTTGTCATAGGCTGTAGTACCTATTACGAACTTTATATACAAAATTTGAAGCAATTTTGGTAAAAACTGTTCCTAATATCATCAAACTCGAAATAATTCCGGTGAATAATGCCGCTAATATCATAAAAATACCAAATAAAGGGAGGTGCCGTTATATGTGGGCTATATGAAGATGTGGACCTACATAGACATTTTTCCGTCGTAGGTTGAAGTACCCATTACTAGCTTTAAACACAAAACAATTCCGGTGAATAATACTCCTAATATCATCGAAATACCGAATATCAGGAGGTATTGTTATAAAGAGGCTATACGAAGATTTAGACCCGCATACGCAATTTTTTGTCATAGGCTGTAGTACCCATTACGAAAATTAAATACGTAATTTGTAACAATTCCGATAAACAAATGTCGCTTAAGTCATCGAAATAGCAAATATCGGGAGGTACTCATATATGGGGGATATGTATTATCGTGGACCTATAAAGACAATCCTCTTTCAGGGGATAAAGTACCCAGAGGGAACTTGTTTAGAATTTCAGGCAAATGTCGCTTAAGTCATATAAATAGAAAATATCGGGAGGTGCTCATATATGGGGGATATGCGTTATCGTGGACCTATATAGATAATTCTCTTCCAGGGGATAAAGTACTCACAAGGAACTCCTTGTGTGGAATTTCGAATAATTCCATTCAAAACTGTGACTTAAATTATCAAAATATCGAATATCGAAGCCTGCAAAAAAAAAAAAACAGATCTGTGCAAAATTTTAGCTTCCTATCTTAAATCGTTTTGACTCCAGCGTGATTACAACAGAGGGACAGACGGATAGACGGGCGTACGGACGGACGTCTTAGAATTTTACGCCGATCATGAATATATATATACTTTTTTCGGTCTAAAATTATTATTTCGATGAGTTACAAACGGAATGTCGAACTTAAAATACACAACATACTATGATGTATGGTGGGAGGTATAAAAACCAAGTAGAAGTTTTGTATTTTTTTGTCAGCGCCTTAAAGTATGTCTAGCATTTAACCTCGCTTAGACATCTACCCATTTGTCCGTTATCACTAAATGTTGTGTTTCTTTACTTTTTTATACCCTCAGGATATATATCATTTTATACGGCACAATTTGCTTCATTGAAATAACAATTTTAGACCCTAGGTCTCTTTGGACCATATCCGTTCTAGGACATTTGGAGTCGATCTAGCGATGTCCTTCCGTCTGTCTGGCTGGAGCGAATGATAACTCTCGAAGGGAGTATCCGATTTGGCCCAAACTTGGTACATCGTAATATTATTATAAAACTTAAATCGAATTCGGAGATGGGCAATAAAGGTCCAGTCGTTAACTAAAAAAGACCGAAATTTTCAAAAAAAAAAAAAGAAAGAAAAAAATATTTTATTTCACAGAAAGAGAAGAACTTTGCAAATTCTAATATTTGCATCAGTGCTATGTCAGGACAATGGATAATACCGGATCGGTACCTCCCCCACAAGGAGTCAAACTTTTGAGTTCTAACTCTTATAAAATGTGATGTAAATATCCGATTGTCTTGAATTTACAAACATCACAATATTTTTATTAAACCAAGGTCTGGTGTGAAGATGGCATATATCGGTGCACTTCTTCTGGTACCTCCCCCACAAAGGGTCAACATTTTGATTATATATGAAACTCAAATTAACATCCGATTCGATTCAGACTTGGCACAACTCAGAGATTTGTTAGAAAGATGGTAGAGATCGAACCATTCCTTCTGGTACCTCCACCACAAAGGGTCAAAATTTCGAATGAGAAAAAAATACCTAAAAAACGTAAACGTACGTAATTAAAATACGAAATAAGCATTGGATTTCGTTCATATTTCAAACATCCTATTATTTCTACTAATACAAGATCTGCTGTGAAGATTGGATATATCTGTCCACTCCTTCTAGTACAATGCCAAATACGAATTCCTTGGGAACAGTGGTGTGTATGATTATTGCCATAACTCATACGCTACAGAACAAATATTTTTAAAATACTTATACCAATTGCATTATTTCTTAAATATATATCTGTTTTTGGTTGTGGAGAACTTGAATTCCTTTCGAACTTTATTTACATTGAATTGTCTATTTATTCATAATTGCAAATAACCTAGAGATCTTTAGAAACAGTGGGTCTTATAGCAATTCTAGTAACTCATGCAACCGCATTATTAAAATGTAAATGAAAAATACACAAACACACACACAGACCCTTAATGTGATTGAACATTGCGAATTTCTACACATAAGTTATGCCCTTACACTTACACACACACACTCACACACAGAAATATTCTAATGCCAGCTGTCTAGTTCGAAACCACACTGCGGAATACCCGTTGACCGTATTCAGATATGCATAGGCAAACACACTCACACACACACACTACTTATTGTCATAACATCACTTCTAAGAAACATAAACAATTTTTATTTACCGAATATATGACAGCTGTTTATGGGTAAACAACAATGTTGAAGTAAATGTCATGAAATGGGGCCAGTGCTTTTTTTTCGAAAAATTTTTCTACGTTGAAAGAAACATTATTGAATTTAATGAAAAAAGAGTAGCGATATTGAACTCTCCCACAGCACTAGGACTCTTACAAACAAATGTTATAGGCCTCATTTGAAAATTGGAGCCCACCAGACCAAATGAACGACACCAAAAGTCCTGAAACGGATTTCGCCACAAAAGAAGAAAAACTTTGCAGCTTTAACTGCCTAAAAAGTGTTCCATAAAACAGTTCTGACCTATTAATTTCTAATATAAATAAGAGGTGTAATTTTTTATACCCTCAGTCGTTTGGCTACAGACAGGGTATATTGCATTCAATAGGCAAAAACGTGTCCCTTCGAAATAACAGATGGATGGACGGACGACAAACCTAGAACGACTTAAAATGTCCTGAAACTAGGGTCTAAGTCTTTGGACCAAATCCGTTTCAGGACATTTGAAATCGATCTAGGGTGTAATTCGTCGATCCGTCTGTCTGGCTGGTGCCCACAATAACTTTCGAAGGGAGTATCCGATTTGCTACAAACTTGGTACATCGTAATATTATTATCAAACCTAGATCGAGTTCGGAGATAACTTATATAGGTCCACTCCTTCTGGCACATCCCCCACAAAAAGGTCAAATTTTCAAAAAAAAAAAAAAAAAAATAAAAATAAAAAATAAAAATAAAAATAAATAAATAAACATTGTACTGCACACAAGGAGATATGATAATCCGTTTTTTCATCAACTTTTATGTCAGGTGCGAAAATGAACAATATCGGTCTACGGCATCAAGTATCTCCCCCACAAAGGGTCAGAATTTTGAATAATTATAACTCTTATAAAATATGATGTAAGAGTCCGATATTTTTATTAAACCAAGGTCTGGTGTGAAGATGGAATATATCGGTCCACTCCTTCTGCTACCTCCTCCACAAAAGGGTTAATATTTTCAATATCCATGAAGCTCATAAAACGAGAAAACAACATTCGATTCCATTCCACATTCGATTCCATTCATTCAAAGTTTTGAATAACAAAAACAAATATAAAATGCAAAATGATCATCCGATTCTCGTCACATTTCACACATGTCATTATTTCTACTAATTTCTGTGAAGATTGGATATATCGGTACCTCCCACACAAAAGGGTTAATATTTTCAATATCCATGAAGCTCATAAAGTGCGAAATTAACGTCCAATTCCATTCCGATTTGGCACATCTTGAAATTTCTATCAAGACAAGATCTGTTAAAAATATGGTAGAGATCGAACCAATCGCTCTGGCACCTCCCCCACAAAGGGCCAAAGTTTTGAATAACAAAAACAAATATAAAATAAGCACTCGATCCTCGTCATATTTCACACATTCCATTATTTCTACCAACATTAGATCTGATGTGAAGATGGGATATAACAGTCCACTCCTTCTGGTACCTCTCCTAGAGAGGGACAAAATTTTGAATATTATAAAAAGCGAAATTAATATAATATTGTCCCACTCTTTCGGAACCTGCTACATAGAGGGTCAACAATTTGAATAACAAATACAGAAGTCAAAATACTCTGGAAAATATTCTGGAGGTTGTAATAAAGCCTTGGGCACGCATACATTTCGGCCGCAGACCTGGACATTCCAACAGGACTCAGCAACACCGCACTCAGCATATAATATAATATAATATAATATAATAAATTAATATAATTATAAATATAAGATAATATAATTATATATAATATAATATAATATAATATAATATAATATATATAAATAATATATATATAATATAATATAATATAATTAATATA